TACATATATATGTGTGTGTGTGTGTGTGTGTGTGTATATATATATATATATATAATATTTTAATAACCAAAATATGGTCTCATCCTTTTTTTAAAAAATTAAATATTTTTAAATTCTCACCCAAAGACATGCCTTCTTTGATTTTAGTGAATGGGAAAATGTGTGTGAGAGTGAAACATTGATTATATGCGCCCCGACCAAGAATCGAACCCACTACCCTTCAGAGCATGGGACAATGCTCCGACCAACTGAGCCACACTGGCCATGGCAGTATGGTCTCATCTTATGGTATAATTTATTTTTCTCATTTGGGATGTTTTTATCTCAAGTAACAATTTGCTTTTTGTAAGTTATTTTATTCTGCCAAACCTCTGCTCATGAAGGAAATGGAAGGGTGGCGAGCCAAAGACTGAGAGGAAATATTCACAATATACATATCTGACAAAAGGCTCATATCCAGAATGTAGGAAGAATTCCTACAAATAAATAATAAAAGTATAAACAGCCCACCTGTTTAAAATGGGCCAAAGACTTGAACAGACACTTCACAAAAGAAGATATATCAGTGGCCAGGAAACCCATACAAGTCACTTGACCTCATTAGGTATCAGAGAAAATAAATGAAAAAACGCAGTAAGGTACTATTCTACACCCATTAGAATGGCTAAGATGAAAAAGACGAATAACAACCAAGTGTTGGTAAGGGTGTGGAGCAACTGGAACTCTCAAATGAAGTGTGCAAAATAGCACAACCACTGGGGGAAATTTTTTTGACAGTTTTTATAAAGTTAAACATATGCCTATCCCATGACCCAACAAACTAATGTCTAGGTATGAATATTGACAAAGCAAAGTCTCTCTTCACCCAAAAATACTTAAATAAAAATCCGTATAACAAGTCTATTCACAATACCCCCAAACGGGAAACATTTCAAATGTGCATCAACAAGAGAATGCAGTAATAATTGGGTTATCCGTCCAGTGGGATGTTGCCCTGTGATGAAGAACAGAATGTCTGTGGATACAGACAGCACAGCTAAGTCTCAAAACCATCATGTTGAGGGAAAGACGCTGTGTACAAAAAAGTAATACATTGATTACATTTGTATGAAGTTCAAGAAGAGGTAAAATTAATACATCAGAAGAGTGTTTGACTCTGAGGATGTGTGGACAGACCAGAAAGTGGCCCAGAGAACTTTCTGAGGGGATGTAATAAATCTCATACCAGTGGACACAAAGAGAGGGGGGAATAACCATGTAATTGCATTACCCTGATATGACCACCGTTAGCATTAATATTCCGATGTATATTGTTTCCAACGTTTTGGTATTTGAACTTTAAATATATATATATATACACACACACACACACACACACACACACACACACACACACATATACACACACACGTATATGTGTATATATATATATTTTATTGCTTTTTTACAGAGAGGAAGGGAGAGGGATAGAGAGTTAGAAACATCGATGAGAGAGAAACATGGATCAGCTGCCTCCTGCACACTCCCTACTGGGGATGTGCCTGCAACCAAGGTACATGCCCTTGACCAGAATCGAACCTGGGACCCTTCAGTCCGCAGGCCGACACTCTATCCACTGAGTCAAATCGGTTAGTGAACTTTTATGTGGTTGTAGTCATTCTGTACCTATACTCTTGTATCGTGATCTTTTTATTTCCAACGTGAATTTGTTTTGTTACCCAAAATCCTTTTTTAAGTCCCCTTTCTAATAGCCACACAAGGTTTCACCGAGTGATTGTTCTGTGCTTTATTTACTCAGCCGTCCCGGGATTGAGCATTGAGATCCTTTCTAGGATTTCGCTAGTGCAAAGAATGCTGGGGGAAATACATTTGTGCAGGAGGCTTTACCTGGAACTCAGATTCCTTTCTTGGGCTAGAATTCCAGAGAGTGGAAATTGTGGGTTAAAAGGGTGTGCTCTAATCACATCTTTTCTAAAGGGTGCCCCACTGATGTTGCTCCAGCATCAGGTAGGGAGGGGCCAGGTCTGTTTGCTCCTAGGGGCGGAGGTCGTTTCCGCTCACGTGTGTGTTGGCTTATTTCCACAGGTAATCAGAGACCGCTGACGCCGACCTGTGTGGGATTCCCCTGCCCTTCTGGTCCAAGACCCCCTACTCTGTCTCCTGGCAGCCTGTGCCCCGGCCTCTCCTAGACCCGCGTGCGGAGGAACCAGCCATCTCTCCATCTGCAGCCATGAACTTCCTCCGGCGACGCCTCTCCGACAGCAGCTTCGTGGCCAACCTGCCCAATGGCTACATGGCGGACCTGCACCGCCCGGACAGCTCCACCAGCTCGCCCTCGTCCCCGGCCATGGAGCGCAGGCACCCCCAGCCCCTGGCGGCCTCCTTCTCCTCGCCCGGGTCCAGCCTCTTCAGCTCCTTCTCCAGTGCCATGAAGCAGACCTCGCAGGCCCCCGCGGGGCCGGTGGAGCCTCTGGCTCCCTCCACACCGGTTGTTCAAAGGCCCAGGGTCCTGCTGGTGATCGACGATGCCCACACAGACTGGTAAGCGGAACTGCAGGCCTGCCAGCTGCAGGCGAGAGAGGAGATGAGGCTTATCTCACTCTGGTGGGGCTCGGTGAGGCTGGGTGGTGCAGAGGCCGGCTGGAGGGAGGGAGACGAGCATTTGCCATGTGGTTACAGCGTGCCAGGCGTGAGGCACCTACAGGTCCTCAATCCTTTACCTGCAAATCTCAGAAGCTCTAGAAACTAAAACAGATGTTGTAATCCATTTGACAGCCAACCCTGAGCTGAAGGAACAGGAGACTGTAATAGTCTGTTTATACCATTCACTGTGCTTGGCCATATGCTTTGCTGCGAGCATCTCCATGTGTTTCATATGGGGTGCAGCCCAGAGCCAACTGGAAGCCTTATATATTATACACCCTCTTACCTTTCTAAAGACAGAAAACTTGGAAGATCTGAAATAGTTGCTTCACCTCTTTCAGCCTCAGGCATCCTCCCCCCATTAAATGAGGTTTCTACGAGATTAAAGGAAACCAATAGAGGCCCACAGTCCTCACTAAAACCCCAGGGACCAGAGTGGCTGGGTGTGCAGCCCAGCTCTTACATGTGCTGGTGGCCTGGCCTCTTAACACCAGAGGTGGGTAGAAGCGACACTCCTTGCAGCCTCTTTTCATGGTCAGCTCTCCGGGGCAGAGACCAGACAGGTGTGCCCAAGGTCATCGCAGGGGTTGTTCCATAGGTAGTTACTGAGCACCAGGTGAGTGCAAGACAGCCTTCGGGGCTCAGGTGAGTGGGGAGCAGGCCTTTCTCACTGGAGCTGCAGGTGAAGACTAGGTCTCTCCTCCACATTGTGGGTAGAGATAGGAGGTAAGTACTACTAGTCCAGGAAGTGAGCCCACCTGTGGAGATGTGGCAGCTCCCTGTCCAGGGCAGTTCTGACAGGCCACCTGCGGATGGCCATGGGGGCTGCAGAGAAAGTTGCATCCCTGTGTGTCCAAAGGAGGCCGTGTAGCAGGCACCCAGGAAATACGTATTAAATGAATGAATTCATGCACCCATTCACTAAGTACCCCAGACGCTCTGTTATCCTAACAGGCAGGCTGCACCCACATTCATCCCTTGAGAAGTTAGCCCAGGTTGGGAATGACTGAGTGGGAGATGGAGTTTACAATACATATTCAGTATAGTCACCATGGAAGCATCTTGAGCAGGTTCAGTGTCAGTCTTCCCTTTCCTGACGAGAAACCACGTCATCTTAACCACAGTGGTCATGTGCGTGGCCCCGGTTCTGATCTGGTCTGTGTTGTCTTCCATTCGGTGCTTGCCCGGGGCTCTTGTCACGAAGCCTGTGCATCTCTGCCGTGTGCTTATCTATGGAGAGCACTGTCCTTCAGCTCTGAGCTCAGGGGACGCTTTCTGCAGAGGTGTTGTCTCCGGGCCCTCTGGCCTGCGCAGTCTGTCGGCAGTGCACCCGGTGACTGCATGCCCGCACGGTCTCTGCAATCCTGTTTCTCTTTAACCCAGTGTTTGGCCTTGGTTTCGAGTTCTCTGCTGGCTTAGTCAGGGTTGGCCATGATTTGGTGATGGGTAGGTACTTAAAAACCTATTTGCCAGGAAAGCCACTTCCTGTGTGGAGGCTGAGCTAATAAATGGCAGCACGGTGCGATGGTTAAGAACACAGCCTTCAGAGCTGGGCTCTCCGGGTTCAAATCCAGTCTCTACGCCATTGTACCTCTATGACAGTGGTTCTCAACCTTCTGGCCCTTTAAATACAGTTCCTCATGTTGTGACCCAACCATAAAATTATTTTCGTTGCTACTTCATAACTGTAATGTTGCTACTGTTATGAATTGTAATGTAAATATCTGATATGCCGGATGGTCTTAGGCGACCCCAGTGAAAGGGTCGGTCGACCGCCAAAGGGGCCGCAACCCACAGGTTGAGAACCACTGCTCTATGATCTTTGTAAGTTACTACACCCAAGTGGGAGTGATAATAATACCTACCTTGTAGGGTTAATAAATGTAAGTAAGATTAAAATCTGAGTTAATACAAAAGTGCTGATAGACAGTAAATGCAATTTAAGGATATATTGCCCTAGCTGGTATGGCTCAGTGGATAGAGCGTCGGCTGACCTTTGCAAGTTACTACACCCAAGTGGGAGTGATAATAATACCTACCTTGTAGGGTTAATAAATGTAAGTAAGATTAAAATCTGAGTTAATACAAAAGTGCTGATAGACAGTAAATGCAATTTAAGGATATATTGCCCTAGCTGGTATGGCTCAGTGGATAGAGCGTCGGCCTGCAGACTTGAGGGGTCTTGGGTTCGATCTGGTCAAGGGCACATGCCCAGTGTGGGGCATGCAGGAGGCAGCCGATCAATGTGTCTCTCTCCCATTGATATTTCTCTCTCTGTCTCTCCCCCTCTCACTCTCTCTAAGAAATCAATGGGGAAAAAAATAAAATAAAAAATAAATCAATGGAAAAATATCCCTGGATGAGGATTAACAAACAAACAAAAAATAAAAACAAAACCATAGCTCTAGCTGGTTTGCCTCAGTGGATAGAGCATCAGCCTGCGGACCAGGTTCGATTCCGGTCAAGGGCACATGCTCGGGTTGCGGGCTAGATCCCCAATAGGGGGAGTGCAGGAGGCAGCCGATCAATGATTCTCTCTCATCATTGATGTTTCTATCTCTCTCTCCCTCTCCCTCCTTCCTCTCTGAAATCAATAAAAATGTAAAAAAAAAAAACCCACAAACAAACAAACAAACAAACAAAAAACCCATGAAAGTGTCCATTATTACTGCAGGCTGTTGCAACCTTCTTGCAGCTTTAACCGTGTTGACCTCTGTCCTCCGGTGCCCATAGGCTGGGTGATATGGTGGAAGGGCACAGTGAACGAGGTTGCAATGCAGTGAATGGCCTCGGTCTTCACTCCCTGTAACCCACGGGCGTGGCCAATGTGTGAATTTCAGGCTGTGCACACTGGCGGGGACACCGTTTTGTCTAAAGGAATTTCTCACGTTGCATCTCAGTCATGTTCTCTGCCCGTGTTTTAATCGGGTCTGGAGAACAGCAGTCTTCTTCTTGCCCCTCGGTGGGAAGGAAAGGAGAAGTGAGGAGCGGAGACTCATCCAGTGGCTGGAAGTTGGCTCTGCATCATTGAATGTTTGTGACAGGAACTCCCTGCCCGCGGACACAGCAGCTTCTCATTCAGAACTCCGTTTGCACTCTTTGCAAACTTCCTCTCTTCACCTCAATACATCCCCAACTTTCTCCAAACTGATGCCAGAGGCTCAGAATCCCGGTCCTTCCCTGCACATTCCTATCCCCACTCCCAAGAGTGGCCAGCAGGTGGCGGGCCAGCCCCACTGTCCAGGGCAGCTTTGGCCCAGCCTGGGCTGCCTTCCTCAGGCCCTGCCCAGCCTCCCCTTCAGTCTCCTGAGAGGGAGAGTTGCTGGGGGGGGGGGGAGCTCCCACAGCCCCTTTCCTCCCCCTTTGAGATGATAATGACAGTCCACCCTCTCTGGACTGAGAGGGAACCCACCAGGAGCAAGCTGCTCCCTTTTCTCCTTTCTCAGCCCCAGAGCCCGTCTTTCCCACCCAATCCGGGGCCTTCCTGCTGGCAGGTATCCCTGCAGGTGAGGGAGTTGCAGGAGCCGCCCACTTTTTCCCCCTGGCAGACTCCAGCTCCCAGACTCTGTTAACCAGCCTGGGCCCCAAGGCCGCTCTGCTACCTGGCTAGTGACCTGGGGGAGGGGACTTTTCATCTTCTGAGTAGAGGTAGAGGGTCCCAGAGCCACTTTTGCAGGGAAGCAGGACTCCTGGCTCAGCACTTCAAGATCCCACCACTTTGGGGGATTGTCCTTGGAGGGAAGCCTGGCTAGGGCTTTTGGACCAGCACCCCACTCCACCCCACCCCCAGGCCTGGCTCAGGAATAGGTGTGACCTAGAGTTGGTGCTGTCCTCTGGGATGAGCGAAGGTCGATCCATCTTGAGAACCACAAGAGGAAGGAGGAATAAAGAACGTGGATTTCAAGCTCAGTTTTCTTCAGCCCTGCTGTCTCTCTGCTGCTTCTCTTACCTGCATGTCTCCAGCAGCTTAGCTGGCTTCAGGCCTGCAGCCTTGGCCTCAGTGCTCCCATGCCCCTGTGCATCCCCTGTGTAACCCTTCGCTGGTGCATCATTGCCCTCAAGTTCAAATTCAAAGTCCTGGCATGTCTGCCCTCCTCTAGTTCTGCGCCTCCACTTCCGGCCTTCCTGCTTATTCCAAAGGAACAGCAAACAACTTGTGCTTCTCAAACATGCCCCCTTTTGCCTCAGCATATTCTGCCTCCTGCTGCCTGAAATGCCCTCTCTATCTGGTTCACTTGGCCAATTTCCTTTCTTCCTTCAAAGCCTGGTCAGGTGTCACCTCTTCCGTGAAGTCTTCCCGGATGCACCCCATGCTGCCATCAGTGCTCACAGCCACCTCTCTGTATAACTTAACACATACCTCACTGTGCCCTTGCTGCCCACATCACATTGTGTTATAATTGGCTCTTCGGTGACTGTCTCTTCTGCAAGAATAAGGCCAGTGTCTTATTCTCTTCTATATTCCTGGTGCTCAACACACAGGGAGTATCCCATTAGCAGCTGTCATCACCCCACCCCAGCCTAAGGGGTAACTTTAAATGGGCATCATGGGACCTGAGATTCGCCTACCTTAGGACTCAGCAGTACAGTCCACACAGGCCTGGGGTTCCTGTGTTTACTCACCTGTGTATCAAGTCTTGGCTCTTGATGTTTCGGTGTGCTAGAGTAACTGTTAGGCAGGTATTTGAAATTGTTTTAAAAAAAGAGGCAAAATTTTTTACTGTTGCCCACAGAATGTACCAAAACTCCAGCTTTGATTTTCAAAAATCAAGACATTGATCATGACAAACAACAACAAAAAAAGATTGCTCATTACCAGAGCCTGGATGGGGTTGGTGAGGGTTGTTGGGGTGAGGGGGGCATAGAAGCAGTTAAGCCTGCACTCCCAGCCCCTCCCT